ATTTAATTCTATTTGTATTTGAAAATAACATTTGGTTTATTTTAGCTTACAGATGTTTATTACAATCTACTTATTATATTTAACAATATACCACTGATTGTATTAATTATTTCATTTAATTAAAACTAATGATCAATCTTACCTGTTATTTAATAATTACATTTAATTTTTAATAAATTAAATTCAAGCAATTCAAAACTTCAATAAAATATATTTTTAATCGTTTTTTTTTGAATTTTGAATTTACATCCAATAAAGTTTTAATAAATATTGAAGAATAGAAATATTAATTATTGTTGGTTGTCAATAAGAAAAAATGTTAAACGTTATTTTATAGTCAAAAGCGTCTATTTGTCGTAAATCCAGCAAAAAAATGTCTTTATTTGTTGTAAATGAGTGAAATTTGTAGAAAATTCTATTTAAAATTGAAATTTATTTTTATTAAAAAATTGTTTTTAATTCAACAAAAGTTACATGTTCAATAACAAAATATTCAATTGTAGTTCATTGGAATGATTGGCTAGTTGTGCGACAATTAAGCAACTTCGACAATTATAATTACGACATTTAGACGCCTTTGACTGTACATTGATTATATTCTTTTGTATATTTAAATATATAATAATAAACTTTATTACTTCACCCATAATTATAACATTTTTTGATTAATTATGTGGTTATTTAATTTCATTAAACAGTTATATTTGAATTTGTTGTTTTTTGTTTGAAAACACTTATTTTTGTATGAACCTGTTTATTATCAATACCAATTTCGAATTATATATATATATATAATAAAGGGGTGTTACTTAAAATTGTGTATGGTCCTACAAATTTCAACTGAAATTGTATTTTTACTCTATAAGTAAAATATTTTAATTGTAACACATTATTTTATTTATTTTATCTAAGTTGGGGGTTTTTAAATATAAAACTATATAAAGAATGTGTTTATTATATTTTTATTAGATCAATAAATAATAATCAACAAGTATATAAAGTTTAATAGGGTCTTTTTTAAAAAATGTTGTGATAAAATCAAATTTGACAAGTCAAATACACATAATTAATTTGTTATTGTCAATGTTTTTGAAAAAGTTTAAAATGTTAAACAACTAGATTACAAATAACAAATAAGGGGTTGTTTCTTATGTAATATTAATATTTTACTATTTTTTAATCAACAGAACACTACATTGATACATATTTGAACAAACTATAATTTCATAACATACAAGCTTCAAATTGTATAATGATAATTTATAACCAAGTTATACTTAAATTTCGTCTATGATATATTAACACTTAATTTAAAAAAGCTTATTTAAATCATATACACATTATAATACTTACGTGTATACTCACTTATTCTTGGTTAATATTTATGTTTCAAATATTTACTAATTAAAAATGAATCTTAAAACAACTAACATTGATCAAAATACGTAATTATGATAGTTCTTTCATCAATTGTAATACAGCATTTATATTTTTTGTGTGATAAATAATCAATAATTTATTTTATTTTTTTTATTCAACAACAATTGATATTTTTTGTAAACTTTAATGTGTTTATTTTGTTTTTATATGCCAAAAT